GTGCAGAGAAAGACTCTCCAATTTCTCTCTTTCAGCATGCAGGGGAATTCGATACCACAAAGTTAATTAATTAGACCTGCCTTTTTAGTTCAAGTAGGTACTTCAACTATACAGTTTAATTCTATTTCAGCCTCTCTGCAAAACAGCTAAGAACTCCGGTACCTTGAGAAGGGTTTTGATACTGTGCATACTAATGTCTCCAGGCCCTAAGATGTTGTAGGTTGCATATACATGAAAGTTTCCAAGCTTTAAACAGGCAGTAACTGACAATTCAAAAACTGCTTCTCGAGGCCATTAATTGACAATGGTAATAGATGACAATTCTCATGCATACACAACCACTGTCAAAAACCTTGAAAGCAAGCAAAGTCAGATATCCTATCTGAGCTTCCTTTGGCTTTGATATTCATTAGCACATCTGCAAAAGTGCATCTAATCTACAGGACTCACTCAAATATCCATAAAGGCATTTGCAAACACAGTTGAGTTCTGTTGTTATTCCTCTTAAGGTGTGGAATTGTGGCTTAGTGCTAGCTAGGGCATTTTCTGTGGTTTACTGCAGTTCTGCCAGAAGGTAAATTGGGCTGCAGTCCAGTATCTGCTGAAGTTAATGCAAAGATTTCTGTTGACTTCAGCTGGAAATCAGCTAATGCACTCTTACTTCTCTCAAAGTTAATGTTTAGTGACTTTGAAAACACACACTGCCTGGAAAGGTTGGGTTCTAAGATTAGAATTCTGACACCCAATATATTCTACATAAAATATTTACACACTGGAAAAAATGAAGAATGAATATGGTTAAAGATAACAGAATACAATCATACATTGAAAGAATGGAAAAGTCAAACATTCATCTCACCAATGCAGACATGGCATGGCACTAATGTATTCATATGGTGCTATTAAAGTATCAAACAAAGAATGAAAAAGAAATGGACAAAAACTAAGGAAGTGAAAGGAAAAGGTTCAACACATTATCCAAGATGTTCTCATCTGTGAATAAAAAAAGCCAAAGGTAGACAAGTCTTTTAGGAAGTTTCAAAATCCTGCTTTTTTATATTAATGAATGGGCTAGGAATAAATATAACAGGGATTGTCACATACTTGGTTATCGAATACCAGATCACACTGAAAAAGCTCTGAAGAATGGGGCAAGTGAACACACATGACATTCATAAATGCAAGGCTGGGTATATTACAGAGAAAAGTCGTTTATCCACTTTATTAATTTTTAATTTTATGGTCTCCAGAAACAGTCTTTTGAATTACTCCTGGCAATTCAGTGAAGACATCTTTCAGATGCATACCCTGATCAGAAAAGTAGATGGGATGGGAAGGGAAATATTTAAACAGAAAGGAAAAACATGCTATCGTATTACATATATCAGTAATACAAATTTCTAAGACTACTGTGCTGAATTGTGGGGATCCAGCAAGAGTGATGTCTGGGAATAAGGACATGTAAAATCTCACAAAAAAAAGAAGGGATGGAAGAGACTGGAACTATTTCATGTAGGAGGAAAATAAGAGGAAATCTGATAGTAAAATATATATGGAATGCTGAATACTGTATCGAAGGCAGACCAAAACCTAGTCAGCATGGGTCTGATCCATCCTATCTAATTTTGGATCCTTCCAGTATAGATGTCTGTGACTGAGGCAGTCAGCTGGGGCTTCCCTCCCTTTTCTTTGGTGGCTCAAAAGGGAACTCAGGGCAGGAAGGTCTGCTGAGCCTTGGTCAGAGGAACCCTATGCTGTGTTTCTATACGCAAGAAATCAGTCAATGACTCATTGTGAAATTCAAATTTGGCTGGATAAGAAGATATTTTTTTACAAAACCTCTTACAGTAGAAGTAATTTTACCCAACCGCTGGGTTGTGTGCTCTGGCACGCAGCACCCGGGCTTGCAACATTCTTCGTTGGTTGGGGTATAAAGATAGACACAACGGGTCCTTTCAATATTACCACACTTCATTCCATAAAAAAACCCACACTTTTAGAAAAGACATAAAAGGATTAATTCACAAAGATGTATTTCATCCCCAGCCACCTTCCAAAGACAGAACAGCTCTCTTGAGAGTAGGTGAAGGAGGCTTTGGCTCCGCACTGGCCTCCAGAGACACCTCTCTGTTCCTGCTGACTGTAGAGGATGATTAGGAGGATCAATCTTTGAGGATTCAAACAGAGTAACTAGGAGGATGTGCATGGGTGGTTTTGGAGAGGAGATAATCCCTGCTTGCCTCCTGTCTCCCTCTTTGATATCTAAAACTAGTTCTGGTGGTCCTTCGAGCTGTTAGTTTAAGGAAAAATGCTTTTTAGTGCAAATGTTGTGTGCGCTTTGTGCAGTTATTTTAGTATTTGGAAGAAAACAGATTTTCTGAAAAAATATATTTGAAGTCCTACTTGTTTGGTTTGCCTTGTGTCAAAATTGTACCGGCATAAACATGAGTCAGGCAGTAGGGAATGGGCAACTCTCAATGCAAAGAACAAGAAAAGGTTTGTCACTGTCCAGTGACACAGCATTCACATGATACTGGAAACTACAAGCTGCTTAATGGTGTTATAGCAACCTCACTGTCTTGCCAGCATGATTTTAAAATCTCTAGCATTTGCTCAGTGATTTGGTCTCAGGTTGTGTGCTGTGCATCCTTAAATATTTTGTAATATTTTTCTGCTCTCCTCTGAGCACTGACTTAACATCTAAAATAGCGCTCTCTTTGACAAACAGGTATTTGTGTCATTTTCATACTTTTTAATTTTGATTGCTGTAATACCATGACGTGTTCAATTTTGGGTTCAGCTGAAGGATAAATAATGCAGATGACACAAGGAGAGTCTGTTCATTTCACCATTGGGAAGGAATGACTGGCCATTCTAACCTTGCATGGAGCAGAGGAGTGGCAGTTCCCACACATTATATGACTTTTGACTCAGCCTTCATTTTATTTTGAAGTTTACCAGATTTGGGTTTTTGCTCTGGCAAAATCTCATTGCAGGAATGAGTAAGCATTTTGGGGCTTGGTCTGAGGACTCTGCCCTTGTGACATTATCTTTGTTGATATGGAATTAATTTTCCACCTGAAATCATGATCCTCTGCCTTTATTGCATTATAATCCTCCCCAGAGCAACCATTTGTGATACTGCAGGCAGATTATGACTTCAAGAGAAGAATAAGCTTCAGCAAACAGCAGCAGATGAGCTCTTAAAGAGATAAAGATCCCATTTTCTTGCTAGCAAAAGAGAAAAATATATAAAATACAAAGGAGCAGCAATGTCTATAAACAGGCTTTTCTGGAAGTCACAAGTGACTTTTTCGTATCAAAGCATAATAATCAGTAAACCTTGAAGTATTTTGAGGTGAAGTCATTCAGTGAAAGAGACCCACATACTGAAATCCCTGTTTGGCATGCGTCTCTAAGCACTTTTAGAGCTGCTTAGCTTCTACCAAAATCTTCTGTTACATAAACATACTTTCCCAAAGAGTTTTATCCAGCTAATGGGGACGGGAGCGCGGTGAGGGAGCAGCTGCAGCACAGGGGGTATGACCAGGCTTCAGCCAGTAGCCAGTAAATGAATCATAATGCATTTAACATTAAGAAAATCTCTTCTGATTTCAGAACTCAGATTTGCTGGGTATTTTGGTCTCTTAAGGAATATTTTCTTTTACTATGGAATAATCCTTGATGCACAGTAATAGGTTTTTGTAATAGATCTTTACACAAGAAGTAAACTCTTTAATAGTAGGGTCCCTGTGTTGTATTTTTCCCTGTCATCGTGAACAGTCCTACTATCATGTTGAATGATACAACTTGTAAGTATCTGTTAGCTGTTTCACAGTGTAGAAAGAAAATGGGGCAATGAGTTTTCCCTTTGCAGATTATCTCACAGATGTAGCTCTTTGAATGTTTAGAGATCTTCCTAAATCCGTGCGGGTCTGCTGGCTGCAGTGGCTTCCACTAGGCTGCCTGCCTTGCTTGAGACAGACAGGGTCTTGCTACCATGAAGATTCAGGGAGTCAAAGTCTGGCCTTACCTGTAGTCTGACTCTATTGCTTCAATAAAATAGGGAGGGATCATAAAAAAACAATTCAGGGAATTTTGGTGGTATCTTTCCATCATATATATTTGGTAGCCCTGATGCACCACAAGAGTGAGCCTCTCAGATGGACTAAGTAGAGCTGGGCTCTATTCCCGTCCCTCCTGTCCAGTAGAAGGTTGCTACGTGGAAGTCACATCACCTGATACTTCACCTTGGCACTTCAATAACCTTTTTCCATCATCTGTTGCATGCAATGTGTATCTGTAGCAATTACTAGCATGTCTATGTAAATACATGTTAATGTGTTTTGGCTATTTAGGGGTATGAGACATTCTGAATGATGCTCAGAGGTTTTCACAGCAAGCCTCTAAAAAGCATTTGTGAAGCTTCTCCTAAGTTTATCAATTTGGCCAAATAGACATGTATTTCTCAGATTATAGCAAAAGACAGCACTCTGTCTTAATTCTTTTATTCCAAATGGTAAGGTCTTCCCCAAATCTAGCAGCATCATAACTCTTAACAGAACTGTTAGTCATAATAAAGTGTTGCTAGCTACCAAATTTTCTTCACTTTCATTCTTGGAAAAAAATGTACCTTTTCAGCTCACGCTCTCTGAAACAATTTTTCATGAGGCCAAGAATTAACTTGGAAAATTGTAATTATAAATTTTAAATTAGAACTATTTAGTTATAAATAACTAAAAGCGTGAGCTTAGAAAGAAGAGCAACAGGAGTTACTGCTACTAGCTGTCAATAATAAATATAATTGAGACATAAAACCCAAATATGATATTAATAGTACTTGGCAATGTCTCTTTATTGTTACATGCAGCATATATGGACAATATATTAGTTAATGATGAGCATGCTTGTACCTTGTTAAGGTTCTGTATGATTTTCCTGTTGTTACATGGGTCTGTTCTGGGAGATGTCAAGCACAATGATGGCTTTTTCTTTTCCAGGGCTTTAGATCAAGTCCTCGTCATGCTAGAAGACGCGTAGCCCCTCGGCTTGAGGAAACACAACCTATAGTTGAAGCTCACCACCTAAGTGAGCAGGAAACTTCTGTGAGAAAAAGAAAAATCAAGAAAAGCAGCCGAGTTCAACCAGAATTTTATCATTCTGTTCAAGTTACCCCAACTCGAAAACCTGTAAGTATTCTACCTTTAGGGATATAATACCAAAGTATAGTATAGAGGGATGTAATATAATTGTCAGATTGGGGCCATCCATATTCTGTTCCTCAATTTAAAAATCTTTTTCTGTTCTCATGTTCAGTGAATCTAGACATAAGCTTGTCAGATTGTATTTAATGTTGATTCATAATACCAAAAAGTCAGGTTCTGAAGAGGGCTTTTTTAATTTTGATTTTTATTTGATATTCACTCTATAGTCAATATTCAAATAAGACACTTCATTTGATAGTTTTATAGTGATATTACTTAACAGATGTTTATAACATTTGTTTATGTTATTGAAATTCCTCACTCAATCTCATTTATCAGAGATTCTATGTCCTGAACCAAATTTGTATTACATTTCATGTCTAGGTGCAATTTTGAGGGCTCTTCTGCTTTATGCACTATTTGCAATATTTTTGCTCAACAAAACGTGTATCAAGTCCTATTGTTCTTTGCTCCTTGGCTTGGTCTACACCCAGTTCTTTTAATATTTATAACTTACTTTTAGTGAGGAAACATGACAATTCATTGAAACACTGAGACAATTCCTAATGTAAATGCATGTGAAGATATATCCTGCAGACATAATGCATTTCTCTTTTTAAGGAGAGCTCATTGCTTTGATGCATTTGCTGACTAACTTACCTGTGCCAATGTTAAGGGGCTTGAACTACTTTTATTATGCCAGTTATTTTAAAAAGGTAACTATTGAGCATCCCCTAAAAAAGAGTCTCTCGAGGTTGCTCCAACCGAAGTGAACCTTCCTAGATTTGTGTTAACTGAGCACCAAGAATTACCAGTAAGCTCTGAAGTTGGTTTTAGAAAGAACATTCCCAAATGGAAGTACGTTGCCTGAGAGAGCAAGAAACTTGTGCAAGGAAGAGAAGGCCAGAGCAGCCAACAACTGTCAGAATTTTTACCTTTTAGCTGTTACATTTAGTTTCTCTGCTTTTATTTGACTACTGCCCAGTTTCCTCTGTTCTCTCTTGCTTCTACTTATTATTTATTTTCCTCAACTGCTGTTCCTGTGGTTTAATTTGATATGATGGATTTGACTTCTGCTCTTCTTAAAGGATCTGATCTTCCTTTCTTCTTAACCACCTTCCTTTCACTCCCATCCTGGCTTGCTCTCTAGACTACTTTGTCTAACTCTGTTATTCTTACTAGGTCTCCAGTCTCTAACCAGGCTCTCTTCTGGTCCTTTCCCAGCTTTGTCATCCTTCTTTCATCTCTTCCATCATCTTCTCTATTATTTTACATTCCAATCCTTTTTTTTCAGTTCACTTTTTTGTTTGACTCTTCATATTTTTTCCATTGTAGGCCTATGCCAAGGGTAAGCCTGCCTGTAATTGCTGAGGCTATTACCAACTGCCACTGATTACTAACAGGGGAAAAAGAGCATCACTGGTGGTGAATTAAAGAGCTAAAACTGTGGAAATGGTGTAAGCAGCAAAACAGGCTTTGAAGACTGGATTAGTGAAGCTAAGAAACCCCTGCTTTTCTCCAAAGTCAGTAACATGTCAGGGAATTCAGGACCAGCAAAGAAAAAAAAAAGTGTAAGAATAGAAAATGCGCAGTGTTACTATGTAACTTCACTTTCCTGTCATTTCGTGGGTCTTTGCTGTGTCTGACAAGACCTACCACTAAACCAGTAAGTCTCAGACTTAGAGAAAAATTCTCTTCAGTGCTGTTATCATTATGTCACTATTTTGAAACTACTTTTGTGGTGTATCTTTTATGCAACGTTACGTAGTTCTTCTGATAGCCTTTCGTTCTACAGCCTCCATGAACTCACATTTCTACAAAAAAAGAATAAATCATTATCTTGATATGATATGACTATGATCCAGAAAACATAAGTCACCGATTTAATTTCTTATGGACGTTGTAAGTTATTCTGAATGTATTATTAATGCCAAGGTGACAGGGTGAGTAAGGTTCATGCCATGACAAATCACTGCAACGTTGTGAAGCTCCACGCAGTCACATCCTCCATCCTGCAGTTTGTTGCAGCTTCATTCCACTTAGTCTCAACGTCTTGAAGATGAGACTTTTGGCCTTTGTACAGCTTTACATGATTCAGTGCCAGAAATGCTCTTGTTAGTCTGCATCATTTCTTTCCATTATTTTTTCCTGTTATTCCTCGCTCTGCCCACTTGAACCACTTTAAATAAATCATCTGTTGTCTTGATGTTTACACTATGGAAATATTTGTAGGCAACTATGGCCATATCCTGCTTAGTCATCACTTGAAAAAAAATGATGTATGAAGTCTGCTAACTAGACATAATTTCTCCTCATAAACCAGTTCTTCTTCTGATCATTTTTGTTGCTTTTTTCCTACTTGTTCTTTTTTGTCTTATTTTCTGACAAGAGAGAATGGTATTTCCAAAGTGACTATAAAACAGATTTATGGAAAAATTTTTCTTTACTCTGGGAAATTTTTTGAGTAATCAATCCTAACATATGTTAATCTGTTTTGTTGCCATATTAAGATACATGCTTAAAGACCTTTCAGATATTTCATTAGAAGTTTTGTTGGGTGTTTAGATGCTAGGCTTTCTTATTCCTACTAATTTAGACTATTTTTTTTTTTTTGGTTGGTTTTGTAGTGTCTAAATTTGTTTTGCAATTTCCTAGCCACAGCTATAATTATCTGAATTTGCTTGGATTATTTCTCACTTTCTATGTAGCAATCTGAGGTCTTTCCAGTATTGTCCCTGATCTTGTCAGAACTAAATTAGGTGTAATGGTGTGTATGGGAGTAATCCCAATGAAGACAATAATTGCTCCCCTTGAAAATCTACATGACCAGATCTTTGCAGAAGTAGAACATTAGTTTTCTCTGAAAATTTCATTATATTTTTACACCTTCCAAGTCATTGATGAAGACATTAAATACATTTTGTCCTAATACTGATCCTTACCAGACAGAGTTCATAGCCATTTTCACTTTATTTTATCCATCTTATTGCAGTGCAACATCAACATAATGGGGTGTAGCTCACCCCTTTTATGGCACGTTGTTGTATCTTGTGCCCTGTACGTCACCCTCTCATTAGTGGCTGTATTATTTGTGCTGACATTCTGTATAGGTGACAGTTTTACATCAACTTCACACCCAGGAACTCTGGAGAAGAAACAGAAGGGTGTTCTTTAACTTCATGCAAGTCAAAGGAGCGTTACATATCACTCCTTTCAAGAATCAGATAGCTGGTTCTGTACAGGTAGTTAAATTTTCTGAAGGTGTGGAAGGATGTGCAAAAATCTCCTGTTGTGAGCCCACTGCTGTCTAGCAATACTTCTCCAGGGCAAATATTAAACTGCGGGCTTTATTACAAGCATTTATTATCTATATTTAAAAGAATTATCTGCTCTGAGGCAAAAAGTATAAAAGTCTGCAAATTATTGATAGCTTTGTTACCTGTGCTGGCCTGGAGCCAAAAGATGGCCTTGAGTTTGTGTAAACTGTGTAAATCTGGCTCCTGAGCTGTGGGGTTAGTTAGATACATAGTTCTACCAAAGTCTAATTGCACCTGTATGTCTAGATACATAGTTGAAAAGACATGCTGTCAAAGCTGTGTCTTGTGACATCTCCATTGTTCAACAGTTTGAAGGGCTCCTGAATTGCCTGACTCATGCAGCCACCGAGGACTATTTAAGATCATGAGATATAGTACCCAAAATTTGTACTTGCATTTGTCATAACAGTATCGCTGTGAGATGGGCGGCAGATGAGACTGCAGGGACCGAGCCATAAATAAACCTGGCTCCTTCACTTTCAGATGGGAATCCCTGTTTGTACTCAAAAGCCTTGTACTTTATACATCCAAACTTACTGGTCTATTTCGTCCCAGTGCTGTAGCACCAGCATACATTGAGGTGATTAGCTAGTGATTAGCTCCTTAGGGGAGGGTGCACCATTGCTACAAGTCACTACAAGGGAACTGAAAGGAAGGACAGATGTCTGGGAGGACACAGGTGAAAAATCTACTGTTGGGAGCATCTTCATTTGGCTCCACTGAGACAATTCCCATGCCTGAAGTGAAACTTGCCCTGTAATGACTCCCATGATGTAAGGTTGAAAGCAAAGTTAATCAGTTTCTAATGCATCTAAAACCATAAGCTGTCCCATCCACAGTCTTCTTCTGCTGTCATGGTTTTTGCTTTTATGTGTTTAAGCATTAAAACTTAGGAGAAAAACAGTATTACAATTCTGCAAGAAAAACACTTAGGAGGTCTTTTAAACAACTGATACCAAATGATTTACAGAACAAGTCTGGGTACGAGTTGACGCTCAGCTTACTTGAAATTAAATTTTTCATATGGATGAAGTTGTTCTACAGAGTTTTTTAGAACTTTTTTATATGTCCCACTAAGTAATTGCCATTTTATTTTGTTAATTTCCATTTCTTCTTACTCTGGTGTTATTTACTAATTTTCCAATACCATGATGTACTTTATTTGATATTTGAATGACCTAATAGAAACAACAGACAAAAATTACTCATTACCCTGCACAAGACTTGGTTAATTCCAAGTATTAGCTATTTAATCTATAGATTGCATTCCCACCTTCTTTCTTTTGGGGACATCTGCTTGTGTTGGATTGTGTCTCCTGTGAATCACATTTAGAAGCAAATATGGCAAAACGTTATCATATCATCGTTCACCTTCAGCATTTTTATTAACATTGTATTAATATTCTCAGAATGTATGACAAAGCTGTGAGCTACCAGACTCTGCATGCATATGTGCCTGTGTACACACACACACACACACACACAACTCTGCATGCATGTATGCCTGTGTACACACACACACCCCCCCTCTCTCGAGATAATTTGAGCACAACCACAATGAAGAAATGCAGAGAATGTGACTGAATACAAAAAGGGAAAAAAGGATTGCATTTTCTCGAGATAATTTGAGCACAATCACAATGAAGAAATGCAGGGAACGTGACTGAA